TAAAATAAAAAAGAATCTTCAAGAAAAATAATTAATTCTCTGATCACTTTTATACTTATAAATATCCATTGACTTCATTAGAAATACCTTCCTCTCCTATTGCTTTGGATGAGGCATACCTAAGCCTTCGGCAGGCTCAGTGAACCTCTGCTGACTTGTATTATTTGAAAGTGTGGGCCTTTGTGCATGAATGGAATATACATTATATCTTTAATAACACAGAAATAATTTCAATCATTCTTTATTCTCCTTTTACTTGGTCTGCCTGATTCGATTTTCCCAGCCTGTTGCACTGCCATTCTAACATGAGCTCAGAGGCCCATGAATTATGGTGGCTTCAGTGAGGAACCAGACTGCCATTGATAAAAAATACAGACCCACATCTTTTGAATTTCTGTATTTAAGTCCACACATACGTGCTTTGTAGCTCAGGCTGATAATCTCCAGAAACTTACTGTGTGCTAAAATGAGGAATTTTAGAAGCCATTAAAAATAGAATTATGTGTTGAAATTAAAGGACTCTTCAGATCAAAAATGAGGCACTAAGAGGGAAGTTTAGTTATAAATTTGAACAGCTATAGGATGTGGTAAGGCATTTTATATTTTTGGAAGGCAATGTGGATAGCAGCATATCTGGTTTCTGAAAGAGTTTGAGATTTTCCAGGAGTGGAACTGCGTAAGCGCAATTAAAGCTGAGAGATGGACAGCTATGCTGGTGACCACAGTAAATGCTATTTTGAGCTACCAGCCAATGTCACAGAGTTTATAAGCATCATTTGTCAGAAATAATGATAAGGAAACATTTTACATCTAAACTGCTATGGGAAACTCCCAGTGCTCTTCAGATTTCATCTCATTCCAGTTTCTCACTCTGGATCTGATTCAAGACTTTCAAAGTTCTTGTGTCTGGATTTCAAAGAAAATTAACTAAGATCAGGGACAGATAGCAAGATCTAGAGCCAGTCTACTGAAGTGCTGAGATCCCATGAATCCATGTGAAACCAGCTTCTGCAGTGCCAGCCCCTGCTCACATATTTAATGGGAATTCAGAAGTCAGAGTTTTGGGTCCTTCTCTGCTTTTTTCTGTCCTCATGTTGTTGTTTTTATTGATTTACTCAGGGCAGGTCAACTCCTGTCTCATCTATGACAAGAGTCCACTTAAAACTTTCTTTGCAGATCAGAGCTTGCAGTTTCTAGGGGAGAGCAGGCTAGAAGAAAGGACAGAGCTGGGATACCCCTCAAAGGCAGAGCCCAGGGGAGCAGAGCCTGATCCTCCTGACACTGCCAGGGCAAAAACCAACAGCTGGTGCCTCCCCACAGTCCCAGACCCTTTCTCATCATCAGCAACAGCCAGACTGCTTTGCCTCCAGGATTGGAAGGGTAGAAAGTGAGCAATAAAGCCATGACTACTTTTGCTAGACCAAGAACCTTGCCTCTCTGTAAAACTCATTGTTTCATTTCTGCTTCATTTCTTGGTTCTCTTTCCACTCAAGAAGTCAGTCAAGTACAGAACATGGTCTTTATTGCCCCAGTTAAAGCTGTGAATCGGTGTTACCTAATTTAACTTACCTAATGTAAGTTTTCAGAGTTCCTGTGCCACAACAGCCCAGCTAGGAACAAGTTGTTCCTAACATCTTAGGTCAAACATCAAAAATCACTAGTTACAAACACTGAAATCTCTGCTCTTTTTTTTTTTTTTTTCCTTTTCCTGCTCTTTTTTTTTTTTTTTTTCTTTTTCTGGGGAGTGGGGAAGGGATAAGAGGGGCAGGGGTGTTCCTAGGGTATTTCAATAGGAATCCTAGAAAATGCCTCACACATTGCTGGTTTTAACTGCCATATAAGCCAGCTGGCTGTGTATCTCAAATAGTTTTTCAGGAAGGTAGTACAAGACAGCCATTGCAGTGGGCTCTTTTCATTGAAAACATTTCCCTCTTTTTGAGAAGAGGCCTAAGTGTTGCCTAGAAAAGGAAATGGAGAAAAGTGCCAACTTTTTTCTCTCTCTTATTTTATTCTTTTTAATTTTCTGTTCTTTTCTGGAGTGCCCATTTGGCAAATTTCTTTGCACAATTCTTGTCAAACAGGCTTCAGGTTTCATTTTATTGCCCAGCAAGGGGAACCAGCAGCTGAGGGGGACAGCAGCACCTGGTGAGCACCATGTGAGCCACCAGAGGTGGGGCTGGAACTTGCAGGGTTCGTCACACCAGGCATAGGAGCTCGGACACGCTGCTGTCCTTGCAGCATAACCTGCAAAGCCTGGCAGGACATTCACTGCATTCCTTCTCTTCCTGGGACACTGCAGTCTTCCAGAGTGTTTTCTAGCTCTAACTGTTGTACACAATGTGCTCTGGTTTTGCCTCATGCTTTCTGGGAGCTGGTGGAACTGTCACAAGCTATTTGAAGACTTTTCTGATAATTAGCCTGGAATTACCCTATTTTTTTTCATCCCACTGCTCATGTAATACTTCTCTCGTGACATCTCAGGTATGAGCATAACAAAGAGATGTTTTTGAAGGGGAAGAATTAGGCATGCACAAGGTAACTTGGACAAGTTACATGTGGATTGTGTAAGTGGCCTATCTTCACAACCATTCTCGAACAGGTGATTTTCAGGGTGAGCATGTGAAGAGGTTGAGATCTTGCTCCTGTAGCAACTGTGAATGCCTAGAGGATTGAGTCATGCAGCCTCCAATAATGCAGGCAATAAAGGGTTATAAATTCTGAACTCTCCAAACCCCCACACTTCTCCCTCAGCACTCTCCTCTTCACTGTACTGTGTGATGGACACAGTGGTATCTATCTCTACTGTACAGGACCAGGGTCCATCCCACTTGTCGCACACAGATTTAGCCTATGGGACAATTTGTGCCTTGCACTGGTATAGGCGAGGTGGGACAGTGTAGGAAGTCTTACAGGTATTGAATACCTTTTAATTCCTTACAGTTCTGGTTGCTTTGGCCCATTAGACACTTCCATGTTCTCATGGAAGGAGGAAGTTGTCACAACAGGTTTCTAACCTGTTGTGGTTGAAACAGCTGGTGAATGTACTGTATGAGATCAGCATCACTGTCTTCTGGGAGCACCACTGTATTTTACCATAGGTAAGCAGGTGAGTAGGTGGAAGTGAGGGGGTAAAACTTGATCAGGATGAGTCAAAACCCATTTTAAGAGAACAGTGGACAAGAGATGTAGCACATGGAATAAAAATGACAGCAGCAAACATCAGAGGCTTGTCTGTTATCAAGGTTAGAGTTTAAACAGCAAAGTTTTGCCTGTGGCTGTGGTCATAAGCTTGGGATCATGTGCTGAGTCGTAGACATAAGATGGATAAAGGAAAACTGACAGCAGGACAGACTTTCTTCTGGCATATTAGGTAAGCATGTTTCATCCTTGACTACAAGGGATGCCTGAGATGTAACAGGGCAGTTCATATGCTCAGCCTGCTTGGCTTTTAATTGTCCAGATGGCTGGAAGTTAAAACAACTGGTGCCATTAAGGGCTACTTGTAACCGTCCTGAATGATTTCAGCTCTGGTAGGAACTGAAATTAATCTATAGGATCATATCACATAGTCTCCAAAATGTGTTTGATGACCTGCAGTGGATATGAGCCAGTAATTATACTCAATACACCTTCTACCAATCATGGATTTTGGGGATGGTGATCTGAAGTAGTAGACTGAACTGTGCCAATAAACTTCTGGTGTCATCTTGTGCCTTGATGTCAGCCAGGAAGAATAGGACTTAGGTATAGCATAGGTAATGACTAAATCCTGACTTTCTCAGTACTGCACTTAGAGAGAATGATAATATCTCCCCTTCAAATGCTCCCTATACAAGGTAGACCACAGAAGCCAGCTGGAGTCCCAGCTATTCTGTGTTGTCATGAGACCCTCCTCATTAGCCTTGTGACTTGTTAAACACAATTCTGTCAAACTTTGTTCTCCAGCCTGCCATTACTCAGATACTAACTAAACCAACACCCACCAGCTCCCTTGGGGATCATTACATCTCTCCACATTTATGCTGTGGCAGCAAAAGTCTAAGCTTGGATTGTAATCATAAAGAAATTAATTTCCTGATTAAAAATGGTCCTTTAAGCAACATGCATTTGAATAATCCATCATAAAAACAAATGAGTCTGTAGCGGTGCTCTTGACTTGATAATCTTTTTTCTGCTTTAAATTTAAATCAGCTGCATTTTTTTTCTCTCAGTCTGTAGCCTATAGAAAAATACAATGAATTACTAAAAAGAAAACAATAGTTTGAAACTGCAATAGCCATGGTGTAGAATATATATTTTAGATCTGTCACTGCAAGATAGATTTGGATGTCATGGACCTAATAAGATACCCTTCAGGCAATTCCACTGACGTTAGTTGTGTTACAGAAAAAGTAAGTTAATGCAGAAAATTTGGCTTCAGATATTTGCAAAGTTTTGAAGATAAAAGACCTGTACATGCCAGAGTTGATATAATTCTTCTGTGGCAAAGTTCCTGTTTAATTCAACAGGAGCTACTGGATCAGGTCTGATGAATGTAGCAGAAATGTATTTACAAGTAAACATCTGAAAATAATGGCACTTTGGTAATTTTAAATATTGTATATTTCTCCCTATCTGTAGATGCAAAGCAGACCATTAACAGTTCACAATAGGTGCCTACTTTTAAACAAGTCCCTCAGTTTGTATCTCTTAGCTGTTTTCATTGTGTGGCAAGCACAAGAAATAACAGAAGATTTGTGTGGCTGGAGAAAGATGCAAAAAGACACCTTCATTCCTGAAACTAAAGAAATGTTCCTGAAACTAAAGAAATGAATATTTAAATCTCCTTGCTTCTTCATTTTCCCCCCATTACAGTTACAGTTTGCTAAATGTTTGTACAGTCTACAATATTTCACATCTTTCATGTCCAGCCCATGCCACAAGCCCTCCAAGTCTCTATTGATAAAAAATCAGCCTTTATCAGCACTGGTCTCAGTATTAGCAACCTGATAATTCCTCACCTTTTGGTCCAGGTAAAATTGTGTGTGTTGAGCAGACATCTGTTGTAGGTCGATTGTCAACATCAAAACCAAAAATCTGAACTTGCAAGATAAAAAACACTACAAGGGTCCCATATTTCCTTAGCTGTTGTTCTTTCTTGCTGCTCATCCTTGCAGTTTCTCAGGAAATGCCTTTCGTTGTTACAGTCTTAAGAAATGCAGCTGACTCAAAAATAAATGCTTCACTAACTAGAGCAGTGAAAAGCTTGGGAGCTACATGCACGAACAGCTAAATAAAGTGAAGAAAGGAGTTTGACGATGCTGTAGTTATTTCTGTCCTGCACATTATCCAGGATATTTATTTAACACTGACAGCTGTTTATTCTAATTTATCTCTTATCTGTGAGACATTTAGCTGCTTTTGCCATGGAAAATTTCTCCAACATATGGGAATATCTCTCGTAATTTTTTTCCTCTCATCACTGATTCTTCATGCCCAGCTTTTCACTTACTCAAGGGACAAAAGACTTTGGTATTGAATCCAAGTGTGTACTAATTAGTTATAGGATACATTTGGCTGGTTGTGTGCTGGAAGAATAAAGCATACTGCATATAACATGTAGAGATACATTTCCATAAAAGCTTTCCACCAAGGAGACTGTTACTGACAACAGATGAGCTGCCAGTCCACTGTGGGTGGAAATCACCAGTGACACATCTCACCTTTTGGATGCTAGGTACCCACAGTCCCCAGAGTAGCAAATGAAAAGTTGCTATTACCCATGGGTGTTTTAGCCTGAAACCCACAAATGATGGGTTTATGCTTACATAATACAGCTCCACAATGCTAGCCCCAAGCCCAGATCATGTTGGTAGACACAGTATAGAATGGACGAACTTCAGGACAGAAGACACAGAACAAGATGAGCTTGAATGACTGCATGACCTTCTCCCTTGTCACTCTTCCCATCGGAGAGGCCATATATGGAGACAGTGGTGTAGCACAGATCCCAACAGAAGATTACCTTTGGGTCGTCCAGAGAAAATGCCAGATGGTTCAAATCTTGAGGCAACCTTCAGGTGTTCATCTGGGTGCTGGATCCCTGAAACCAGGGTCAGAGGCCTCTTGGGTGGAGGAACAAGTTGCATGCATCCTTCCTTTTGGAAGGAGCTGTGACAGATACTTGCCTGTGTGTAATCCCTTCCTGGAAAAAACTCTGGCTTTCTCTTAAGGAGAGCACAGTAAACAGGGATAGGAGGATGTTCAACATAGCCTGGCAGAAGAGAAAGGAGAGATGACTATTTGTAATTTTTCCAGGAATTTTATTAACTTCTGGTTTCTCACACAATGAGACAGCTACTCAAAAAGCTAAACTAGGCTTTTGAACTCTGTAGTGTGTGAGAGTGTGTTTGCTTTCTATTCTAGGAAAAACTGTATTTCCCGTGTTAATAGCTTTTGAAAGGCTTTGCTCATTCCTTAAGAGAGTATCGGTTCCCTGGTCCTATGTTTCAGTCTTTGGGCATACAGAGTAAGTACTGATGTAAAAGTGAAATCCTTTATTTAAAGCCTGAGGGAGGGCTCTGACTTCAGGCTTTCATCTGTGATAAAATGTTGGCCAAAGTCCCAAGAAGGGTCAAGATACTCCTCTCCCTTTTTCTTTCTAGCCTGCTCACAGACTGTCCCCCTTTCCAAAACACTTGTTTTTTGTGTGTTAAACTGTATACAGTGCTTTTCAGAAATAAATAGTGGTCTCTGTCCTAAAGAATGTCATCTAACTTACCCCCTCAAATGTGGCCTTGATAACGGGTACACACGGCTAGAGGGGGAGGAAAGACAAAGCCAGGATTATAGTTGAGTAGAGTCCTACCAGAAATAAACTTGTTCCTCTGTGATTTGCATTGGGCACTGTGCCTCTGACTTGTACACTGTAAATCTGTTTTATTTAACTTTTTCTGCTTTTCACTTTCCATTTTGTGAGCAGAAGGTCAATGTAAGAGCAAGAATAGAGAGCGTAGGAGTGGGAAGCTAGTGTACTTAGGGTTGGAGGAGGCATTTTGGGAAATGTTGCCAAACTGACATGAATGATGCTATCTGTTCCACGGCACTGAGAGACTTACAGTGACTTGTTTGTTATTTATCAGGGATAAAGAGGGGTGAGAGAGGAAACCATTTGTTTAACTACTTCAGTTACTATCTGGGACTAAGCAGGGAACATTTTTCTGACAGTGGTGTGATCATTTACAAATGTTTTCATTCCACATTAGAAAAGAAATCAAGTCTCTACTCTTCCTTGGCCCCCACCTCCCACACCCACCCCACCTTCCATCACAGTCACAAGCCCCCTGAAAATACTATGAGAAATTAGAATTAATGGATCTAAAAACTTGGTAACTGAAAATACTTACTCAAAATGTAGGAGATACAGATTTTAATTATTTCTCTGCCTAGTTCAAACTGGTGCTTGCAGGAGAGCCATAAGGTTATATTGCCTTATTGCAAGGATGTGTGCTAATCAGTTATGTCTTCCTGTGTGTTGGACCAGGAATGCTGCCCTGGAGCTAGAAAACCTGCCTTAATTAGCAATCCATCAAAACTGATGTACTACCAGGAAAAGCTTGGGTTTTGGCAAATCAGTATTTATCAAACCAGTTTCACAGAAAAATCTTCAAGCAGCTTCATTGCTGATGGAGACTTAATGAAGCAGTGTGCCTATTGTGCATGTTTAATTCTCATTGAATCATGGCTGTAGGCAAGGAAGAAAAACAAACTAGGCTACATCGTCCAGACATAAAAGTCACAAAACAAACTCTTCCAAGGGCCTGAATGTTTTACAAGGAAACCCTGAAGAGGCACAAAAAAGTATCCAGAAATATTCTGTTCTTTGAGGTGAGCACTAGTCAGGTAATCTTAGTCTTGTGCATTGTCTATCAGGAGTCCAAGTAACTTTCTTGGAGATTTGCATAACCTTTGCTTACTTAATTTGCTTACTCTTCAGGTGTTAGTAGTTAAATGTCAACAGAATATAAGGAGCACAGACAACATGCTGAAACACTGTTCATCAAAAGGTGGCCAGATCTACAGCCAGTTTTCATCATTTGCAGAGTCACGGATCCTGTGGTTGGTCTGCAGGTCAATACGTCCTGCTTGTAACCATGGGCTGATTGAGCCATAAGTGTTGAGAGTCAGCTGGCATCCTTTCTGGCCCAAATTCAGCATTAAAGAGAACATTCCCCTTCTGTACCTTACTGTACTGAATGAACTTGGGAGCACCTGAAGAAAAAAAAGAAAGGTAGAATATTTCTTTGATTTGGGATCCTAGATGGTTTCTCTTATGGTGTCAGGGGTCATGATGATTTGGGGTGTTTCATTCTGTCACGCTGGATACATCAGTCATTGTGGTTTGCAATGTGTAGGGGGGAAAGTAATCCTAGGGCTATTTTGTAAAATGTCATTTTTGGTCTTGACACCATGCAATGGCTACTTGAGCCTGTAAACACAGTCTCCACCAGTTGTTGTTCCTCTGATTAAGATATAAACAATGACTAGATTTTGATATGCCTCAAAATAATTGACAAAAACAGCCAACCTAAGGACAAAATTGCCCAAAATTTTATGGCTTATATGTTTGGTAAACAGAGCTTGTAGAACTCTAATGATTATAGATCATCATCCAACATCTTGTTGGATGTTTGAGAGGCTTCATTAGCCTCAGCTGCATAGAAATTTATGCTCCACTACCAGCTATGATCTCTCTGGTTTCCTGCTGATGAGTTTGTCTCTGTTGAGTTGGGTACCTTGAGGGATGGGTGTGAGCTTTTTCTGGTCTGACACAGGGATTGTCTGGGAGAACCTTAGGTCTGCACTAGAGCTTACAATCCCTTCTTAGGATGCTCCTACCTCTCCTTTCCCACTCCTATTCCCCTCAGTTTTTAGCCCTTAAACAGAAAAGCTGACACAGGTCCCAGCTGTACGTATCTGCTGTGAGGCAGGAGGGATTTGGGGACAGCTGGTGCCCAGGGAACAGAACAGCTTCTGTTTCAGCAGATTTCAGCACTGAAATCTCATAAGGAGCTTGGATTGCAGACCACAGATTCAGAGAGCTGCTAGATGCTTTATGAGGTGCACTACTGAACCCTGTACCCCATTTGGTACACAGACCTCAATTGTGTGCAACTTCTGCTCACTCAGGTAGCACTGCATTACAACTTTCTGTTTCTAACTTTTGCACTTAGCAAGAATGTCCTGGCTCACCTTTGACATAATGGCACCAGACTGTCAGAGAGTCCTAAGACAGATACTTATTGCTATTGTTTTCCTTGCAATCACTCAGAGAAGCTATCCAAAAATGTAAGGCATTCACAAATGCATTCAGAGATGTGATAGGAATTAAATACTCAATGTGGCTTGTAACTATGTTTATCTAAGTGCAGCCTCTTCCTGTGTAAGAACAGATTTTTGCAAACAAGAGGGCAATGATTCAGTTCCAGAGGAAGACTGACAAAATAAACCCCAGTTTCTACTGACCTGATGCAGTGCTGAACAGTGTCCTACCCTGGGAAAATATTTCCTGCTTAATTTTCATAAATATTTATGTAATTCCTTCTGGGAAATATGTCTTCTTCAGAAAACTAAACATGCTGCTCCCTGACATAAATTTAACTGTTTGTTTACACATGAGAGATTATGGGCATGTACCCAGACTCAGATTTTTATATTCTTATTTCAGGCATTTCTGTCTTTTAGAGTTCTTTGCTCTCCTCCTAGAGATCACATCATATCTTGAGCTGTGGACCCCATTTCTGGCTCTGGAGTTTGAACATCCCTGATGCTCTTTGGAGAGTTGTTATTTTGGGCTGCAGAAATAGGAACCAAATATAATTTTCTGCCTGGAATCACACATCTGTCCTGCCTAGTTATACCACTCCCATTCTGGTTTGAGGCTCCTGTCTTAAAAAAATAAAAATCATGTAAGCAATTAAACAGAGGATTGCATGGCTAATGAAAGTATTTCTATTTAGAAACAGACCTGAACATGCATCTGTGAACTGAAATAGCACTGGTGTGCAGTCTTTGGTGTTTGCTTTCTAAGTTTATAGTATGGATTAGTGGCAAAGTGGTGCACAGGTTGCCCCAAGAGAATAGATATACTCCCCACCATGACAAACTGAAAAAGATTGATTTAGCTCTCTTTAATACTTCTTAAGAGAACAGAAAAGTCACTGACAATGCAACACAAACTGACAGAACCTTGTACAAAGCCTTGGATTAGGGCAAAGCTGAGCTTTGCTTTCCAGCATGCTCGAAAGCCCTTCCATG